AGGTAATGATAGGTCTACCAGCGGTGGAAGGAACAAACCCTGCTTCATGTTTCCCACGTGCTGTAATTGGCTCTGAAGCAACATGTTACAGCCGTATATGGAGTGAGGTATGATCGATTTGCACTGTGTTAATCCGTGCTGTTTGCTCTTTACATGATTTCAATCTGAGAATCCGCTTATTTTTCACAGGTGTTTGCTGCTGATATATATGCTTCAAAATTTGGGGATGGGCATCCGAATCTGTATACGGGCATGCAGTTCAGAGACAAAGTAAACGATAATGAGAAGCGTATTTGTTTATTGTTTAATTTAGTAGTCTGTGACTGTGAGTGTAACGCCAGCTTTCTTCGACTAGGTGTTGGCTGCGGGAGGAGGCAAAGAAGCCATGGAACTTGTCACAAGTTTTCTTGGAAGGGAGCCATCAACACAAGCTTTCATTGATAACCGGACAAAATATAGTTTGTGATCATTGGAACTAACATTAGGACCTCTTAGACGCCTAGTGAATCTGTCGGCTTGGTGAAACCGAAAAATGCTGTTTTGCGAAGCTTGGACATTTTTGTCGTTGTTGTCAGTGACATCGCTTATTGATGTGAGTTGATAGTTGGAATCATTCATTTATTTTTGTGTAATTCGAACAAATAAATCCCAAATTCAGATTTCACAAATAAAATCATGAATGGTCTGTCTAACTCAAACTTCGAATTACAAAATGGAGATGACCTTCCCGGTTTGCAGTTTCGGTTCGGTTAAACCGAATAGGACACGTGGCACGCTCAATGGATAAGGTACGATTCACGAAATCATCATCCCCAAAAACTCCCCCTTTGCACATAACGGACTAGTGGTGAATCTGGTGCTTTAATGGAGGTGAGTATGTCTCTCAACGCGTTGGCTCGTCTTCCACTGAAGAACACGGGAAGATTCGAAGAGATTGGTTTAGCTAGACACTCGTTGTTCACCTCGAGAACGCCATGCCGAGAATCGGTGCCGCGGCGGATGGTTTTTGTGGTGGAGGCGAAAGGGAAGAAAGGTATGGCTGCTCGTCAGTATCAACGTACACCTCCTCCTATGCCTAAGATTGAAGACGATGGAAACCCTAGATTCGTTATCTTCATTCGTATGGCCAATGTTCGTCTCTTATCTCTCTAACTCATCACCTCATTTTCCGCATTTTCAATTTCCTTCATGGTTATGGTAGCTTGAACAATTCGACCCTAGGTCCCTAACTACATAGAGACGATTGCAATTGTTCTGGTTTCATCAATGCGAGTTTTTGTGTGTAAATAAGTGTTTCTTTTAACATGAACAGGTGTATCTTTGGTATCCTCTCAGTATAATAGCTGGTGGTACCACTGCTAAGATCATGGTTGCTGCAAAAGACAACCTCTTGGGGAAGTATATCTACAAAGACACCATTGCAAGAAACATTGCTGCTGTTATCTACAGAGTAAGTATGAGTTATTTTTGGTGTATATAATACAGTTTAGGCTGTGTGGTCTGATTCTACTTTCCAATATTTGATTTCTGATTGTTGACATGTTCGATTTAACAGGATGAGAAGGAGATACAAAAGACAGCAATAAAGCAGCATCGTGTCTTGCGGTCAGCCACAGAGTTTCGATATGGCTACAAACTTGTTGTAAGCATCTGGAATCCTTTGTCTTCAGCTTTTGGAAGCTCTTCGTTTTGTTTTATTATTAACCTCTGAAGTCTTTGGAGGACGGATTCTGTGAGACCATATGAAAAGTTGCTTGGTTGTTTTCTTTCACTTATTATGGCTGCGTTATACATTCAGGAAAACGGAAACATGAGAGCTGCACTTAGTACCTCAGATGTCATCGAGGTAAGTGTACAACCACTTTTTTAGATTAGCTCTCAAACTCCAGACAGTGAGACCAAAAGGGGTAGTCATATATGTTTTCTCTGAAACATTAAAGTTTTGTCCTGAACAATGACAGCTCCCAACCCAAGACCAGCTTAAAACAGTATTCGACAAAGTGAAAGACTTTTTTGGGGATGCAAAAGAGTCATTCGGGAAGATATCATCGCTGAATCCTGGGACTGACGGAGAAAGTGAAGAAAGCCCAGATGAGAAAGCCAAGTAAGTGTAAACGGGTACAAATGTTTCTTTTCTACATTTTCAGTAGAATTTTGGTGTCTTCTCACCAGAATGATATGATATCATTTTCCAGGGCCCAAGGTTGAGCGATTGACACTTGATGGGCTAATTTTGATGTCTCAACCGTCTTGATATGGGCTGCAGAAGGCGACGAGATGCCCATTATTTTGTGCACATTTTCTTTATACGTCTCTCAGAGAAACAGCTTCTCTTATATCTCTTGTAACATATAACTTATTGTATCTGTAGATTTGTTGAAAGAAAGAGCTGTTGGTTACAACTTGCGAGTTCAACTTTCCTTAGACATTGATCAAGTAGTAGTAGTCGAAAATTGAAAAATTTCTCACTGTATATTTCCAAGAAATCTTTAACTGGAAATGTGAATGAAATGTTCAAAAGCTTCAGCAAGGCTGCAATGAGGGAGAACAAAGACTGTTTGCAGAGTTAAAGTAGAACCGCCCTGATCACTCCAGTAGGTAAAAACTCTAGCTCTGCGCAGTACTGATGCATCCTATTTGATGAATTTGAGGATGGGGAATTAGCACATCGATTCGCTTTGACATCGATAGGGTGTTGCTTGGTGTTTTATTTGTTATGAGTGAATTAGAGCTTAGTCTGTGAACCAATCGTTTGCCTGCATTGGTTTCATTTGGTACAAGATTTTAGATAGTTCAAAACTCTGTAGTTTCCTATCTTGGATTTGGTAGCGAATGTTAGATTTCTTCGATGTAAAACGTTTTTCTGATATGCTTGAAAATCGTAACCTCGCTCACATTCTTTGAACTTAAGGTAACGGGACAGAGTCCCAACAGTTAGAAGTGTCCAGCAGTTTAATCTTTGCCATGCCAGGGATGTTGAATGAGGATGTGAAGGTGTGGAATGAGGAGAAAATGCTGAGTTTGCCAATAAATAATATGTGCAGAGATCTTATTCTCTACATATGGCAGGTCAAGTATCTTTCTTCTATGAGCAAAAACATGTGGTCTTATCACATGGAAGGGAAACCAATGTGACGGTGTGGAAATCTTAAGCTATGGTATGAAACATGTGGTCTTAAAATTGTCATCCAACTGTTTGCTTTAATTAGCCTATGACACTCATGGATTATTGTACATGCATTCGATCATGGAAGGTTCTTGAGAAAGCAAGATTATTTTCAGGTATACCCACAAAATCTTTCTGCATTACACATGAAAATAAGTTAATGGTACGAGGTCAAGATATGAATAAACCTTGATCTACCATGAAGGAATACTCGTCAGGTTCGAGCAGCCTCTCATTTCCAAACCATAGGTGAGGTGGGAGCTCAGATAGGAGTGATGGGCTACTACTGTAATCGTGAAACTGTAGGAGTCCGGTGTTTGCAAGAAAACGCTCGCCTTGTAACCAATTCAAGTCTAAGTCTGTGTCTAAAGAACCAGAATGATGTGACTCTGAAAGTTCCCAGTTCAAGCTTCTCAGAATCGACTCTGTATTGTTGTTGGTTACATTTGAGCTGAACTCCTGTAGCTTCATGCAGGAGATGGCAGAGGGAGAGGACAAGTCCAAATTTTGGAGGGTCACAGTAGGGCTCTTGTCTTGCGGCATGATAAACTCCGTACTCACACAAGTGCGTCCTGCTGGGGTCTCATAAGAAGGCTTCATTTCCTCTTCCATGAGAGACGGTGCAGAAGTTGCAACATAGGAACTTTGACTTGGCAGTGGTTGTTGCTGGATAAAGCTGTTGTCATACAGAATCGGGGGCTTCGATTCAAGTGCCTCTGGAACATCATTCCACAGAAGCAGAGAGTCAAAGGCACTGGAGGAAAGAGGAGGATCAAACCCTATACGCGTCTTTTTCGCATTTGGAGGCATATGGACATCACTGTTAGGGTCAGACACAGAAGCCGAAGCCTTTGGATCAGTCTCTGTAGCTTTATGGAGCAGAGAGAATGCATAGCTGCTTTTGCCAGGGCTTTGGTGGCCTGAATTCACTTCGGCATCTTTTAGAGATGAATCCATATTCTTTGCTCCACCAGAATAACACTTTAGCTCCTTCCCTTTCTCAAGTCTGCTCAGGTAAAGCCTGTATTTCTACAAAAGTGACC